TCTCACCAGCATTGGCAAAGTAGCATTACATGAAAGTCTCTTCAAAGTCGAATCAAAGTAGTACTCAAGTCACCTAAAAATCGTCAGGAAGTGGCCTGGCAAAGTTCAAAGTAGTGTGTACAAGAAATGTTATTAGGCAAAGACAAGTATTTGCGAAATCCACTAATGTTTAGAGAAATTTGCAATTTACAAAATGTAAAGACCATATGAAAACCCATCTTGCATTGAGTTACTGGCCAGGCCAGCTCGGAAACATTGGTTAACTATAAGAAGTCCTTAGAGAGATGTTTTCTAAAGAATTATGTTTTTGGAAAAATAATGTTTTATGTGATAGGGAGGAGCAATTCCCATTCGGAGCTTGGCTCAACAGATAAAGAATTCATCAACTCAGTAGGACAAAAAAAGCTGTGAGTTTCATTGGAAAAGACTTAAGCAAAGCAGTGATATCACCCTAAGGGCACTTTTACACTGATCTGTAGCAAAAATACGGTAAAAATTAATTTTTGCAATGATTTTACTGTGATTGCAGTGCATTTTTCACAGGACATGTGACTAAAAACCACATCAAAAACGAAACACGTGTGTTTTTAATGCATTTCAATGGGGTAGTGCATTTTTAAGTGTGTGTATTTTTTTTTTTTTAACTGACCAAATATGCGGCAAGCAGGATTTTTTTTTTAAACATTGCAATGGATTAGTGGGAAGACATACTTAGACATACAGTGGATATAAAAAGTCTACACACCCCTATTAAAATGTCAGGTTTCTGTGATGTAAAAAAATGAGACGAAGATAAATCATTTCAGAACTGATTCCACCTTTAATGTGACCTATAAACTATACAACTCAATTGAAAAACAAACTGAAATCTTTTTTTGGCGGGGGTTGGGGTTGGGGGGAGTAAACCTAAAAAAACTAAAATAATGTAGTTGCATATGTGTGCACACCCTCTTATAAGTGGGGATGTAGCTGTGTTCAGAATTAAGCAATCACATTCAAAATCATGTTAAATAGGAGTCAGTACACATCTGCCATCATTTAATGTGCCTCTGATTAACCCCAAATAAAGTTCAGCTGTTCTAGTAGGTCTTTCAAAAGCATCAGAGGGATCTCATTGTTAAAAGGTATTAGTCATGAAAAGGGTACAAAAGAATTTCCAAGGCATTAGATATGCCATGAAACACAATGAAGACAGTCATCATCAAGTGGAGAAAATATGGTGCAACAGTGACATTACCAAGAACTTGACGTCTCTCCAAAATGTATGAGAAGAAAAAACTGGTCTGGGAGGCTGCCAAGAGGCCTACAGCAACATTAAAGGAGCTGCAGGAATATCTGGCAAGTACTGGCTGTGTGGTACATGAGACAACAATCTCCCGTATTCTTCATATGTCTGGGTTATGGGGTAGAGTGGCAAGACGAAAGCCTTTTCTTACGAAGAAAAACATCCAAGCCTGGCTAAATTTAGCAAAAACACATCTGAAGTCTCCCAAAAGCATGTGGGAAAATGTGTTATGGTCTGATGAAACCAAGGTTGAACTTTTTGGCCATAATTCCAAAAGATATGTTTGGCACAAAAACAACACTGCACATCACCAAAAGAAGCATGGCGTTGGCAGCATCATGCTTTGGAGCTGTTTTTCTTCAGCTGGAACTGGGTCTTTAGTCAAGATAGAGAGAATTATGAACAGTTCCAAATACTAGTCAATATTGGCACAAAACCTGCAGGCTTCTGCTAGACAGCTGAACATGAAGAGGAACTTCATCTTTTAGCATTATAATTATTATACAGTATTTATATAGCGCTAAACATGACAACGAGCATACATCCAAATCAACAAAGGAATGGCTTCACCAGAAGAAGATTAAAGTTTTGGAATCACCCAGCCAGAGCCCAGACCTGAATCTGATCAAAAATCTGTGGGGTGATGTGAAGAGGGCTGTGCACAGGAGATGCCCTCACAATCTGACAGATTTGGAGTGTTTTGCAAGGAAGAGTGGGCAAATATTGCCAAGTCAAGATGTGCCATGCTGATAGACTCATACCCAAAAAGACTGAGTGCTGGAATAAAATCAAAAGGTGCTTCAACAAAGTATTAGTTTAATGGTGTGCACACTTATGCAGCCATATTATTTTAGTTTGAAATCTTTGAGGTGGAGGGAAGTAAAAATAAAGTTTGTTGTTCAACTGAGTTGTACAGTTTATAGGTTAAATTAAAAGGTGGAATATATTCTGAAATTATTTATTTTTGTCTCATTGTTTTCCATCACAGAAACTAACATTTTAACAGAGGTGTGTAGACTTTTTATATCCACTGTACATAGGGGAGTATTTTTCTTCAGCTTTTCTTTTCTTTTTTTAACACAAAAGCATTTTAGTGTGAAAGCAGCCTAGGGTCCATGTAGATGGTCATTTCGAGGCTCAATGAACTCCACCAGCATCCATCAGACTATTCCATTAAATGCAGTACAAAGCATCTGAACAGGACATGATCCTATAGAGATGCTTGTACTGCACTCTGTAAAACAGACAAGCAGGCGTGTGCACTGTAGGACCACTGCAGAAATAAAAACCTAATAAATAATAACCATTCTAATGTCAGACAGTAAAGATCATAATGGAGAGCCCTGCTGGGTATTTACTATTGAAACAATTTATAATGTCGTGTCATTAATCTCTTAATAGAATGAACCACTTACAACCACAAGCTATAACATCAATAACAGTGTCTTATTAGTAAATTGCCACATTGCTTTGACGTGTTAAAAATAATGCTATCCAGGTTTTCAGTCTATCATAACCATCATGCAGTACAAGCTCTTACTGCTGATAGGTTTAAAACACATGAGGAACGGGGAAAAAAATGAAAATAAAAGAGGAATGTAGTGAATGATTAATATGAGAAGGAGAGATGTATTTGGAAACATCGACTTGGCAGCCGGTGATGTGAAGACAGCCTGCAGAGCAGCCCACGCACAGATGTCTGCCATGCATACATATTGCTTACTTTTAAAAGGATAATCGCCACATGCCATACTATTATCTGGCTTTCCACATTAGCGAGAAAGACTAAACACAATCAATATCGTAGAGACCACAACACGAATTAAAACAAAAGGCAATGCCGTCAAGGTTTGCTGCCATAGAAACCTGAAGGGAATGAGTCAGGTTTTCAAAATTACACTGTGGAAACAGACCTGACAATAAAGGGCCATTTAATAAACCAGAAACTTCAGAGGCTGCTTTTAAGGCTGTGTCCTGTGCCCTTTCCAATTGGCTTACTACACTTCATTTTGCAAATAACATCCACTGATTTAAAGAAAGTCTATTTATGTCTCTTAGAAATGTCCTGCTGTGTAATTAGAATTGGGGGGGGGGGGGGGGGGGGGGTAGACATCTATTGAAGCATGCATTCTACAGATGGACCATTATCTGTATAATAGAATTTCAGCAGCTACTGTACGTGCATGTATGTCATTTACGCTAAGACCGCAGACGTCAGAAGAAGGGGCAATTACGGAAAATGTGACATAATGTGAATTGGACAAAATACACATGGCCATATTATTATGGGTTGGTTTTACTTTTTACACTAAAAACAGTGGGCCTCAAATAAAGAGGGAAGAAAGGAAAGTGGAGAATTTCTAACAGCAGCCAGGGTTTAGCTGCTAAAGCAGCTCATGCATAGCACGATGGTCCTATTTGTAGCACTGTTTAAGATAAACACGTACAGTAGACTGCAAATAGAAAGGGACATTAAGATGAATCAACTGCCACTATGAGGATAGTCCTCCTTTTCCCTACTATAACACTACAAGAATGTTTAGATGCAAAAAATTTAATTAAGAAGACAGAGGAACATTAGTGGAAGAGAGCTTAACTTGTATGTGGCTGGCCTCAGAATGTGAAAAGAGACAGCTGATTGATTGGTCATGTACAACACAATTTTCCAGTAAGGTAAATCATGCCATAATAACTCATGATTACTAAACCCTTTTTAATACCAAGAGCAGGGGTCTCCAAACTATGGCCTGTGGGCCACATCTGGTCCACTTCAAGATTTTATATGGCCCACAAGACAAGTCCATGAAAATACCCTGGTTGGAGTTGATGCTCCAGTCGGTTTATTGTAATATGGAGACTGATGCATCTACCGCTATCCATCTGTGATCCTCCTCCAGTCTGTAGTGTCCATTCTCCACCCCTCCACTGTGGTTGTCTGTTAAGTCCATCAGCACCCTAGTAACCAATGACATGTCTGGTACACCCCTCATGCCTTGCCACCTGATAGGTAAAAAGTAGGGGGAGGGGGGGGGGGGGCTCTGCTGGGCACAGATGGATGTAAGAAGAACCTTGCTGGGCACACATGGATGTAAGGAGGGACTTGGCTGGGCACACATAGATGTAGGAGGGAATGCTGCTGCCCACAAATAGATGTAAGGGGGGACTTTGATGGGAACTACTGCATGCAAGGGGTTGGACTGTTTATAAAATAAAACTGACTGACTTGTTTTATTTGTACAATATATGATGTGGCCCTCATATTAAAAGGTTTGGAGACCCCTGTCCAAGAGGATAAACTAAAGCCATGACTCCTATGGAGGCAATCACTATTTTTGAAAGAGGGGGGTGGAGTGGGGTTCAAAAAAAATAATTGATCTCTGGCCCATCTTTCATTCAGCATCTGTTAATTTAAATGTATTTTAATAGTAAGCAGAATTGAAAATATAGCAATACATACATATATACTTCATGCACTTTTGGGGTGTAACTTTAGAATGGCACAGATCATGATGGTGTCAATAAGTAATATAGAGCTAGAAAGGGACTATAAAAAAGAAATATAAAGCTAGAAAGGGACTAGAAAAACAATGGGGTATCTGGGTCCAATCATTTACAGTTCTGCCTCTGTTTTCTGTTAGTTAGAAACTTCCCTTCAGGTTTTGCTAATGTGGATGAAGCATTTGCAGCAGCTATCGTAGAATGATTCCCCACCAACCTCCTGGATGCTGTTTGTCCACTCCACCAAGTTTAGCTTCCTGCACCAGAGACAGCATATTATTCCCTGGTGGTCTCAACGTGGATTCTAATCTGTGGAATTTGTGAATTCGATCTCTGACCAGAATCGTATCAGGCCTCTCCTTGTGTGCTAACACTTGTCTGGATATGTACCAGCCAGGGTCTTTCTTTTGCACCACATCAGCGATCTCCTCTACGAGATCAGAGTTTATAATATCAGTGGGGTTATATTTATGGACATGAACAACATCTTCCCTTTCGCCTAGCAGTTTGGAAAGGACGGAATAGAAATCACCTGTGCAGGGAGAGAACAAAAGAGATAAAAACAGAGAGATGGAAGATTAACACATCATAGTGGACACAAAAACGTCAGATCATTCTCATTATGTAGGCCTGGCTTAGTCATATTTCACACGCAACCATCTTTTAGTAGCGACATTTACATAGAAATGGCTGTGTCGGCCTGATGTTTCCAGAAGAAAGTAACACAAAGACTGTCCTTGGCTACTGTGACGGAAATGAAGCATGTTATTGCTATACAAGGCGTGCTTCAGATGATGATGTTCAGGGCACGCTTACATCGACGTGAAGGCTATATTACTTTTACATCTTAAAATAATACATTTATAGAGGTCACCATAGAGATCATAATATATTTCATAGCTTGTACAGCAAATGTCACCAGGAAATAGAGCATACAAGAAAGCTTTGTTTTCACAAGCAATAGATAAGAACATAACTCATTATAGCTACATGTAGAAACACTAGGGAGTTATTACTGTGCTAAGGAAATGACCAATACACTAGGAAAATCATCTTCCTCCTAAGTCAAGCAGCAGGTACATTTAAAGCTGAACTCCAGGCACTGCTAATTAATGCAACTGTGTATTCATTAAAAAAAAATAAGACATGTATTTTTAAATATAACCAATAGAAGTACCTACATTTGTCTTTGTCTTATAATCCCCCCGAAAGCAGAACTTACACTGGAGAAAGGAGGAGCAGCACTAGAAGGCTTTTAGGTGTCCTGCAGGTAAATGTAGTCACAAGGAACATGCTGACAGAAAGAGAGGGAGAGAGGAGCTTTTCAGTCTCCTGCTGCTCCTTTACTGTCCAATCACAGGCAAGGGGCAGGGGAGTAACTAGGCTGTTCTGCAAACTGCATTAGGGAAACGTTACTTCACCAGCCTTGAAGCACCCTTTGGCAGAGCAATGTAAAGCTCAGGACTGTATGGACCAAAATATAAATCCTTTTCCTGGAGTTTAACTTAAAGCCAGAGTATATGGAGTCACACTAAAGCAAAATCCCCAGACTAGGGGGGTTGAAATCCAAAAAGCAGGAGAGGTCATGTTTACAAAACTTCACAGGGGTTTTTAATGTATAAAAGTAAGATAACTTTATTATAAGCCAAAAAGTGTGCACAGAGAGGGATAGAAAACTTTTTTTTATGTTGGAATTGGGCGTTCTCTACTGTATCTACCTGAACTTTGGCTGGAATGATTCTTCAACCAAAACATTTTTCAGTTTTGTAATTAGCATACCAAGCTGACCCTCACAATATCTTCTGGTATTTACAGTATACTATATACTTACATATTTGTCATGAAGAAGCTGTGGAACATATGTCAATAAAATACTATCTAAAAAATAAGAAATCCGCTAGTAGGTATGAGACCTTCACAACTCAAGAAGGGGGTCTCATTCATTCACTGAGGGCAAAGTGACAGGTTTCCTAAAAGACGCCACTGAATGATTTCATTAGACTGTACTCAAGTAAATCAAATATCTATTCTGGGTGGATCCTGGTATATTAAAGCACTAAATTCCAGTACAAAGCATTCAAAACTGGAAGAACTAATGGAATAGTCATCTTAAAAACTTCAAGAGATAACAGTGAGTTAAAAGAAGGTGACGTGAATATCAGTGGAGAGTGTTGTCCTAGTAATCCAGAAACGTCTGATCACATGCCCCAAATTATTAGATCTCTAAAACACCCAAAATCAATTTAAAAACACATGTACCAGAAAGATACACTTGTAGTAAATGTTTGGTGGATGTTACATGCATTGCTTTAAAATCAACTCGTTGTTTTATTTCTAGCATTTAAACAAAATGTTTTCTTTGTACAAGCACACATTACCTCCAATTAAATCTTCATGTCAAAATTATAAACAGATACAAAAGATACAGGCAGCAGATTAAATAACCAAATATCATCTATTAAGCTTGAAACTGGCAAGTCTCCCTATTGGTCCTTTATTATGAAAGTGGCCTCAATGACCAATAGGAAGGTGGGACTGGGATGGGCCAAGTTGGCTTGAAAATACTTTGGCTATCTCTCCAAGTGGCTGATCTCTTGAGCATGTAGCTTCTCAGATTATTATTATTATTATACAGTATTTATATAGCGCTAAGAGGTTTGCTCAGCGCTGTACATTATAAAGGGGGGGAGATGTGTCCAACCTGAGGCCCACAGGCCACATGCAGCCCAATATGGCTAAAAATGCAGTCCAAAAACAAAATTAAACACTTACTTACAAATATCAAGGGTTTTTTTTGCAATTTTTGTAAAAATGTGTTTACACTTAGCAAATACATGCAGCTGAGGAAATATTGGAAAGTGTCTCTTTACTGGACTTTTATCAGTTTTTTTGCTCAAGAAAATTATCCCACTTTTCACAATCATGCCTTATTCATATTATCAGTTTTCAGTGGCACCTTTATTTGAGAGCAACTATTTTCAAGGATGAAGCACATGAAGGGCAAAATTAGATACAAAATATCTGATGAGTACCTTTAGAATTTATTGAGAATTGCTAACACATCCATCCAACCAGATATAGATGTGCTAATTTATCAAAAACAGTGTCAAATATTGCACACGTTTTATGTTGCCCTCTTTTACTTTTATAATAAAAAAAAATGAAGTTTTATCACTCAGATACTGTACGTACATTATCTATATCAGTGATTGTTTACTTGTGATCTGCCTGACTTTCTCTGCTCATCAGCTATCCTTACAGTAAGAGCATGTTATGTCTGGCCTAAGCCAATTCCTCTTCTTTCAATGTGACCCAGGAAAGTCAAAAGGTTGGACCACCCCTGCACTTTCTAATCAGGTGCTCAGTCTGAATTGCCCCCATCTCTGGGAACTCTATAAACACTGAATCCTACAAAGAGGAACATATTTTACTGAAGTTGAACATTTTTTTTGAAACCTGTAAAAATAAGGAACATAAGGAGTAAGGGAATTTAAACGAACGTGGTAAAAGTAGTGACATATCAGACAAAACCAAAGGATTTTGTTTTTTGTAACTAGGTAAAATGTAATTAAGGACAATAAAATTGTTACATTTCTATTTCAATTCTTTATTACTAGGTCACTATGTTTCTAACCATAATCTGCTTCCTTTGTAATTGCTTCAACAGTTGCTATGGCTGCCTATTATTTCTTGCATCAGCAGGTCTGTTCACAGAAGGGGTGTTACTTATTTTATTCCTCTTGTTTTAAGTTGAGGACATAAGAAATACACATAGGCAAAATGCATATTTACATTACAGTACAAACACCATGGACATACACTTTAATACAAGATCTGCCTATTCAATGTTAAAAACCAACAGCAGACAAAATGACCTTAATAGACTGTGTCATGTTTGCAAACAATCTTTTGCTTTCCAATTATTTGAACTAGACATTCAATACACAGACCTGGAATAAGAGTCCCTCAGGTGATATAATCTCATCTCAGAAAATAATTACCACGGTTATTAGCACACCGCCATAAGTAAATTATAATTAAAGAAAACACTTCTCCAGCTGAAACACCTCGGTGGAGATGAGTAGCGAGGGGAGAGAACTATGCGTCAAACCACCTTCAGGGTACAAACTTTAATCTGGACTGTTTACTGGCAATGAAAAGACAAAAAGAGTTAACTGGTCTTAAAGACTTTTAACCACGGGAATGCCAAGCCAACACACAATATACCATATTTTTCATAGTAATATTTATTTGAATATTTTCAAGATGGCATACTTATTATGACTGTTCAGAGTGCACTTAGTAAGCTTTAGAAGGAAAACTTATCTAGATAAAAATTACCATATGTCTAATACATTCTTAAAAAAAAAACCACAACATGAGAAATTAAGTTGGAAGAAGCCATCTAGAGAATGTTGGCAGGGGTGGGAAGAAACTGTTGCAGGTATGAGGTGCCTACACAAACTCAAATCTTCCTAAAAAAAATTTGGAAGTGATATAATGTATTTCTATTTTCAGATAAAAACTGTACTGATTAAACGAAAATCGTACGATCTGGTATCACGAGAAAAAATGTTGTGCTTGTCCTTTCAAATAATTTCTGACAAAAGCTGTGTACCAATGATCAGATTATTGTATTATCGCTTATAAAGCGGTATTTTTGGTACAATTTTCTGATTGTGTGTACTAGGCTTTACATTAGCCAAGGATGGATAGATGTCTTTCCAAGAACAATGGGTAGGGAGCTACCTATCTAACTTGTAATGGACAAGTACTTAATATGTTTTCTAATGTCATCTGCCTAATTATAATTATTATATAGAAAGAAGTATATGCAGTAAGCAACAGCGCAGTCCCCATGAACAAATATAATTGTATGCATATATGCAAAGAAAATGAAAATATGAACAAGCTGAAAACCGTCATGTTAGGATTAATTCTATCCTAGATAAGTGATAGACAAAGATAACAGATTTCCTTTAGAACCTTCAGAGGAAGTTGCTCCGAGAATGCTGGTATTGACAAACAACATCCTTTAGTTGCTCCACACACAGAAACTGCACTACTGGTGATTCATACTCTGAATGATCTAGGGTTGTTAGTGGTGTACCCCAAGGTTCAGTGTTGGGACCCTTACTTTTTAATATATTTGCAAATGATATAGGGTCTGGGATTAAAAATCCCATTTCAGTCTTTGCAGACACCAAGCTGTGCAGTGGAATAATGTCCTTACAGGATGTCTCCAACTTACAAGCCGACCTCAATGCACTGTTTAATTGGGCAACTATGTGGCAAATGAAGTTTAATGTTGATAAATGTAAGGTTATGCACTTGGGAGCTAAGAATATGCATGCATCATACATACTAGGGGGAGTACAACTGGGGGAATCAATGGTGGAGAAGGATCTGGGAGTTCTGGTAGATGACAAGCTTAATAATGGCATGCAAAATCCTCTCTTGTATTAAAAGAGGTATAGACTCCAGAGAGAGAGATATCATTTTACCCCTGTACAAATCATTAGTAACACCTCA